TGTTGTGCCTCCATCATTGAACCCTATAATATATAGTTTAAGAAACAAGGAAATCAAAGTAGCTTTATGTAAGATTCTTTGGAAACTAAGCCACTATAAAAATTCCAAGTGAAAAAATAGCATGTTGAAAGGCAAATGTCATGTCCTTTGTGATATAAGGTAAATATTTTCATAGATCTTAATCTGTTAGGAATACCAAAACATTAAAATGCAGTTAACTTATTTGTATTATTTATCCTTGGCCATTATCTTATAGCCTATGGGAGCTAGATGTTTCTCATTTAGAGTGCAGTACATGTAACTGAGCCTTCCTAGTTAAATGGGAGCATAAACTCTGTGTAAGCAGAATAGCCTCTTCAAAGATGTCCATCACTCCATCCATGTTATCTGTGAATTTTACCATTCATAGCATAAAGGACTTTAAACAGACAATTGAATAAAGAATGTTGAAATAGGGAACTTATTCTTGATTATGGTGTCCAACGTAATCACAAGGGTCATTAAATTTAGAGGATCGTTACCAGTAGTAGTCCAAAGAAGATGTGTCTAAGGAAGCATCAGTCAAGTGATGGATCATTGTTGATTATAAAGACAGAAGGAGGTCATGAACCATAGAATGTGAACAGTCTTTCTTATTAGGTGCCACTGAGTAATTCTGGCTCATAGTGACCTAATGCTCAAAGAAGGATACACTGTTTGCTCAGTTCTCTGTCATCCTCACAGTTGTTATATTGAGTCCTTTGCTGTTGCCAATCTATCAGTCCATGTCTTTTGGATTTTCCTTCAGTTTTGTTAATCCTCCACTTTACCAAGTATGATGTCCTTCTCCAGGGACTTGTCCTTCCTGATATCAGCCTCTGGTGTTAAGAGAATCCAAGAAAATTTAATCTTTCTTAGAACCTCTAGAAAAGATCCCTGAATTTTAGCATTAATTTTAGTCATTAGCATTAATTTTTGATCCCTGAATTTTAGCATTAATTTTAGTCAGACCGAAGCCTGACTTCTAACTTAGAATACATTGAGTTAGGAAATTTCTATAATTTTTAACCATTAAATTTGAGGAAACTTGACACAACAGCAACAAGAACTTCATATAAACCTAAAAACGGTTCCTGGAAGATTCACTTAAGTCAAATTTTCTGATATAGAACACGTATGTTGTTGTTAAGTGCTGTGGTGTAAGTTCTGACTCATAGCAAACCCAAACAAGATTTCTGAACATAAGCTGGTAGGTTTGAAATGTCTACTTTGCTGTTCAAACCAACCATGTGGTCCTGTGTTTATCCTGCTGTGTCATACCATATTTCAATTTCAACTTATGAAACTGAAATGAGAAATATCAAAAAGAGTACTATTTCTACTTTCAAGACTTTGATGATATGACAAAAATAATTTCAGATTTTGTATATATTTTCAACATATTATTACCTTGTTATTTTTGCTGTTAGATTACATGGAGTCAACTTACACTTACAACATTTATCAGAACCAAAATGTCCCATACATTTGTCTATGGAGCAGATCATTAGGATTTTCACCCTTTGAGCCAATGAGTGGATTGAAAGTAACCAACCTTTTGGATAGCAATGAATTTCTTGATGCTGTGCCAGCACTGCCTATATCTTCAATTATATTACAAATAAATGCCAATACTGGTGTCATTATTTTGTTTTTATTTTATTATTATAAGATTGATATTTCAAAATTTTAAGAAAATAAGATTAAATTTTAATTACTTGAATGTCTACTATAATAATTTGAATTCTTCTCTACTGCCTGTGTTTCTTGCAACTCACTTAGTATGTTATGGTTAATACTTTTGGCTGTCAACACTTTTGCATTATTTTTCCAGGTTTAATTTATTTCTTAACTTTTTTTCTATTGTGATTTGATATATTGAAAATTATTTTAACTTAAGTATCTTTTATAATGTGTGAAATAATTAAAATCTAAGTGAAAGTCATTCACTTGAACCTTAATTTTAAAACCAGAGTATGATATTAGCTCATAGATTAGTATTTTTCATTCAGCAACTGGCTTGAACATTTTATAAAATCAATTGGAAAAGATTAGTCAACATATAAATTCTGAAAAGTGTTCACTTCAGAGTTTTGGGAAGATTTTGGACACAAATTTCTCAGATGACAGGGCAGGGTACAGGGTCATGAGACAGGAACAACAAGATTCCTGTATTTTAAGTAATTGTTCATTTTTTAATGTTGTACTGAAATATTAGGGAATAATGTCTAGCAAATAAATACAAACAGGAAACTATTTGTAGGCTAGTTTTCTAGTCATAAGAATTTTATTACCCACTCATAAAATTGCATTTTTATTAGCATATCTTTTGTTGATATTTAAAAAATTCTATCCACTTAATTGTATGATAAATTATCTAGTATTGCATGGTGGATTAGGGAGAAGTTCAGTACTTCTGTACAACATGTCAGATGAAGCAGTTACAGGGATGATCCCAAACTCTAAATTACATATAAAACTATATTTAGAAAGTTCAAAGACTTACAGTCAGTGGCATTTATAGCAGAAGCAAGAAAGGTGGTATTTTCTAATCTGTGGATGTCAACCAACTCCCAGAGCAGACATGTTGGCCATGAGGATGCAGGTGAAGGATCAGAGGAGCACTCCCAACACAGAGGTCTGACTGATCCTCAGAAATCAATGTCGGAAAATGATCTTTTTTTTTTTTTTCTTTCTGCTGTCTTCATTGGTCTCTCACTGTCTGTGCACCTCCACTCTAGTGAGCAAAGGGGATGTCTAAGCAAGTGGACAAAACTCCCACCCTTGGGAGGTTCTACTACTCAATCGTATGGATCTGCTCAGCAGAGACCACTCTGCACAGAATCTAAGAAGGGGGAAGGTACTGATTAACACCAAAAGAGCTGCTAAAATTCCTAGAGCCAATCCTGAACTTTTTATCACTAAGAAAATGTCTTCAACAGAGGTTGCGGAGTGGGGGACAGACAGATTATAGAGAAAACAAGGCAAAAGTTAAATACTGAGTTATGGCATAATGAATAACAGTAACATTTTGAAATTTCTCAGGCTGCTTTTAAGGTAGGAATCTGAGAGAGGGACATAAAAAATGTTCCATCCAGGGTTTGAAAAAAATAAGGAATAAGTAAGGAAGGCACTACAGGAACAATCAAATAAGGTAGATACAACATTGGAAGCAATTCAAAATGTGCAAAAAGAGAACCAAACTATTAATAATAAAATATCAGAAATGGACAATACATTGAAAGAACAAAGGAGTAGAAATGAAGATTTGGGAGCCAGAACCAGTGAACTGGAAGACAAATCTCTTAATACTGCTAAGATAGAAGAGCAAGCAGAAAAAAGGATAAAAAATTCTGAAGGAACTCTATGAATCATGTGGGACAACATGAAGAAGGAAAACATAAGACTTATTGGCATTTTGAAACAGGACGAATCACAGAAATCCACAGAGATGATAGTTGATGAGCTGCTTAAAAAATTTACCTAACATCCTGAAAAACTAAAAGATAAGCATTCAAGAATCTCAACTAACCCCAGGAAAGACATTTGCCAAAAGAAAATCACCAAGACATACCATAATTAATCTCTCCAAAATTAAAGACAAAGAAAGAATTCTGAAAGCAGCTAGGAAAAGAACATTGTTACTTCCAAAGACAAGCAAATCAGATTAATCTTGGATCTCTCAGCAGAAACCATGCAGACAAAAGGAAATGGAAAGACATATATAAAATCCCAAAAGAAGAAAAAACTGCCAACCAAGAACTATCTACCCAGAAAAGCTTTCCATCAAGTATGATAGTGTAATATAAGCATTCAAGGATGAAAAGAAGGTAAAGGATTTGGTCCAAGGCAATCTAAGGCTTCAAAACATTCTAAAGGGAATTATTTGGACTTAGAACCAACAAGAACAGAAAAAAAAACAATGATTGACACACGTAGCAGCAATAACTGGAACTCAATCAACCGATGAAAGAGTGTACAAGAGGAAAAAAAACTACAAGAACAAATTCAGAGTTTCTGGGATGTCAGTTTATGATCAAAAAAATTATAATGTGAAAGAAGGTAAAAGCATATGACCAGAAATCAAGGTTGGGAGGAGGTGAGGTAAATTGCAGGATAAAATAGACTGTTTTCAATGGAGGGAAAAGTTAATAGTATATAGGGCAACCACAAAGAAAATAATTACAACATACAAAGAAAATGAAAATCCAAGAAATGGAAACAGTAAAATTAAGAAGAAACTGACAAGAAAGAACACAAAATATATGTACTCAGCACAGGAAGGTATGCAGAACAAAGAAACCATCAGCACCACTAAAAACAAACATAATGACTGCAATTAATTATACCTATAAATAATTACACTAAATGTCAGTGGATTAAATGCATGCAAATTAAGAGATGGACAATGGCAGAATGGAAAAGAATATAAGATGCTTCAAAATGTTGTCTATAAAACACACATCTTACACATAAATACAATAACTGGTTAAAAGTTAGAGGATGGAAAGAAACATACCAATCTAATTGTAATAAATAACTATCAGGAGTGGCAATACTAATCTCTGAAAAAAATTAACTTTAAATCAAAACCCAGTTTAATATGTAAAGATGGACATTAACTCATGATTAAATGGTCAATTGAACAAGATGACAAAGCCATAATAAATATCTATGACTTCAATGAAAGAGCTCCAAGTTATATAAACCAAACTCAAATAGATTTGAAGAAAAAATATAATAAACTGACAATAATAGTGGGAGATTTTTTTTTTTTTAATGTTTTATTGTGAATTATGTGGTAGTTTACATGGGAGAACTTTAGTTTTACATTCACCCTATCCTATATCATTTCATTGTCATGGTAACAATCACTTCCATGCATCATCAACCAAACAAATGGTATACTATGTAAGCCTGCCCGCCTCCTCTGGTACTCAGCACACAGCCCCTCTGCCTCTCTGGGGCTAAAGTTCCCAGCTGCTCCATCTGCCCACGTCATCTTCTCTGCCTCTATCTCTGGCGTCACTACTTCTCTTGGTAGGGTTGCACTCTATGCTCTTCTCCTTTGATGGTCCCAGGGACTTCCGCTCC